CACCGAGCTCCTCCTGGGTCTGAGTAAATTCTCCTGTTCTCTCATACTGAGAGCAGAAAAAAGATAGAGAGAGAGAGGGAAAGCAGTGTTTTAGGGATGTTTTCCAAAAGAACTCATCAAAAATCTCCAGGAGTAAAACGAAGCCCAGCAGGAAGGAGAACAGGAAACCCTCAAGAGACATAAACCTCTCTCCCTCTCGCTTTAAAACACACTCCGACTGGTTAAAAAAGACACCGGCGTGTGTTTTCTGGTTTAAAGGACAGTCTGGCAGCCTGTGAGTCGATATCCAGCTGTGATCTACAGTCGGACAGTTGAAAATTGGAGTCTGCTGAGCTAAAGTCTCATCCTTCAGTGTTGATCAGCACACACTGAGGTCTGAACATCTGGAGAGAGCCGTCCATTAGCATTCATCCGTTATTGACAATTGTCACAATTACAATTAATTACAGTTAATACAGTAAATAGTAAATACTTTGTGGCTGCACTGTGATCATTAAATAGAGTCTTTTAATGTCACCTAATGATTCTTGTTCTAAATATGCCTGATAATTGATTCTTTGGTATACAAACTATTGTTGCACTGAATTACATTATTTCTGTAAATCATGGTAAAAATATATGATATATATATAATATAATATAATATATGAAGAAAAAAAAATGAAGTCAAACAGGACACATTCTAATCTATGATAAATAAACAAACAAACAAACAAATACATCTCTAAATATAATGATTATATATATATATAATAGTTTTTGGTAAAATTTGTCAGAATGAGCAAGCAACGAACAATAGCTAATTTAATTGCAAAGCGGACTAGACTTGCTAGTTGTCAAAATTCTGGTTATGCAAGACTACACAAATACATACAGAAGATCATTTTTTTATGTCATCTGGTGCACATCGTTATTGAATTAATGTATCAGACAGATCTGCTCTTTCTATGATTAAAAACAAAACTGTAGAATATCTGAATACCAAACAGTTTCTGATCGCTGAATGTCAGTCATATTCTCCTGAGACCCAGCTATGGAGTTTTTGC